GCAGGGCGCAGTTCTCCCCTGCTCCGCCCCGGGGTTCTCGGCCGCTGTCGGAGCAGGTGTGAGTTGGTTGTTAAAAGGAGCATTTGTAAGAGGAGGTACACAAAGCACGCACACGGGTATAAGTACTCGCACAGAAGTAAGTATTATCAGTTCTTACAAACATACACATACACACACGCACACACACACACACACACACACACACACATATATATATACACACACACACGCATACACATACACACGCATATATATATATATATATATATTATATATATATATATATATATATAATATATATATATATATATATATATATATATATATATATATATATATATATATATATATATATATATATATATATATATATATATATATATATATATATATGAATGTATACTGTATATATATGAATATATTTATATATATTATTATATATATTTACACACACTCATACATATATAGAAAGAGAGAGAGAGATACCGAGAAAAAGACAAAGTGAGAGAGAGAAACATAGAGAGGGGCAGGAGGATGTGCGTGTATGTATGTACATATATATATATATATATATATATATATATATATATATATATATATATATATATATATATATGTGTGTGTGTGTGTGTGTGTGTGTGTGTGTGTGTGTGTGTGTGTGTGTGTGTGTGTGTGTGTGTGAATTTTATATATGTATATATATATATATATATATATATATATATATATATATATATATATATATATATATATATATATATATATATATATATATATATATGTATAAATGTAAATATGTGTGTGTGTGTGCGTGTGATTGAAAGGAAATTTACTTACAAACCAATCGCACCCCAGTAAGGCGTTCCCTTAGGCATTGCTTCTTTCGTGATCCATATCCATTTTCCTTCCTCAATCTGGTCGTAACCGCCTACCCATACATTCTTGGCCCGGGCTGTGGCTTGAAAAGAGAGAGAGATAAACAATTATACAGAAATGCAGACATGTAAGTGTGTGTATATGTGCATACCTACATGTATATACATACATAATATATATATAATATATATATATATATATATATATATATATATATATATATATATATATAACAAAAGAAAACTGTTGTAGTAAGTAAGGGTGGACTTTTAAATTTGTCAAAAAATGGACCAAACCTCCATGGCCTTGGCTGAAGGCTGCACACCCCTCTTTGCTGCACTCTCTTTTCAACTCTTTACTATGTGTTTTTGGGTTGGTAACAATCAATTTATAGTTCTTTTATAGTACAAGTAATATACTTTCATTTGATCTTAATTATGATCTGATTAAAGCTAGAATTTTGATTTTGTTTCCAAATAATTTCAACAAGCTCCTGCCTGGGATGACGCGTGGTCAAAATCAATTTTTGTCCTCTCTTAATATGTTGATTAAGGGTTATAGTCAGTTTACCTTCATATCTGTGATATTACTGTGGTAATAAATATGAACTATCACTGGAATTACCCTTGTTAGCAAACCATTGTTAAGGGAATGTACTGGATCGTTTTAGGTAGTCTCGACGAGCTGTGAGCCGCGACGTGAGTGCTCCCTTACTCCTTGACCGCTGCTCGCACTCCACGGTCAGACTAGCATGCCTGCCTCTCAACGTGTCTCTTATTAGGCAACTTCAGGTGTTTATTACTAGTTTTCGGCGGGAGTGTTTTTCACTGATACATGTCTGATTCCTTTAGTTTCTTTAGTGTATAGTTTAAGAGTGTTCTTTCATCTTTGCAGTGTCCTACGTTTTGTTTTATGTCTATTAAAGCCTACAATATGGCCCGATGTGTTTTTCTACCCACATCAATTACACTATTTGTATAAACATTCTTTTCATGTACTATAGAATTATATTCCAAATTAGGTTAAATCTCAATTTTACTTTTAATTGTAAATATAAAATGGTTACCGTAATGTCATTTAGTACTAAATTGTAATTAATATATTACGTTACTAATATTTGATGCAGCTTTGTATATATTTATGATGGTTTGTTATTTTAGTTATTGTTCACTGAAGATGGGTGAAGTCAAACCGAAACGTTTCATTGAAAAGTTCAATCCTTATTTTGTTAACCTTCAGAATGTTTTTTTCTGGCAACAATGGTGGTTAAGTTCATATTACTTCGCCGCTTCCTACTTGGAGGTTCCACAGCTGCTGTTATATATATTTGCTTTAGACACGTCTGTGGTGTAAACAAGCATATGCCCTCACAAGAAATAGCTGCATAAAAGGATGTCTCATTAGACAGCAGGGGGCAGACAGCAGAAGATGTGGGAGAGCAGAGAGAGACCAGGTCAGACAACGGTCTCACTCGTCATCACTACAGTATCAAGGGCACAGGTTTCTCATGGGTTCACACATCTACCTCCCCAGTTAACCCTCCAGCAAAGACCCTATTCATTCAACCTGCTCACAAGCCCAACCTTATAACATCTGGTGGCCAGCAGTGGAAGAACTTCACAAC